AACATTTGAAAAAATATACCTGTAGACTCAAGTGATGGGGGCATCATCAGCACGAGTTATGATAAATGGATCAAGGACTGGAATAGAGGGAAAAAGAAAAAAAAAAAAACAATCTATTTCTTCACCATTCAAAGTTCTATATGTGGACTAGACAAGATATGCAAAAAAAAGTTATTCCAGCAGACCCAGGTTTATTCAATTGGAAAAAAGAGTTTAATTCTTCAACAAGTCAACAACTTTTCTCCACTAAGCTTTGAGTTAAAGGTACGTTGTGTGCAGTAATGTGATCCAAAAAATTCAAAGTTGAATCCCGAGTCAAGCAAAACCAATAATGAATTCATTTTAATGTATATTTATTAATTGAATCTTATTCCCGTATCTGAGACAGAATTAATTGGACCACCGGAGCTTGAAACTTCTTCTCTTCCTTCATCATGCTAACAATCTTTGCAATAAACCTTTCCATCGCAACCTTCATGACATAAAAAATAATGAAGATAATCAATTTTTTTTCACTATTATAGAGTATATCTAACAACACAAAAGATTTCCTTCATAGATCATGTGGCTGTGCAACAGACCGACATCCGTACGTGTACTCCTCAGATATGAAGAACATAGGGAGAATAATATTGAAGGGCCCTCTAAAAATATTATTTACAGTTAACAATCCTTTTAGAAATTTTAAAAAAGGAACATGGTTCTTAATTGGAGTTTAAATTTTTATGTTAATTATTTAGTACTTATCTTCCACATTTTCAATACTCATTTTTAGTATTTTCAATACTCAAATTTTAAATTTTTCAGTAGTCATTTTAGATTTTTTTAATTCTCATCTTTTGTGTTTTCAATATTAAAAAATTCTTCTCGTAAATCCATTTTAGTACTAAAATCATGGAAGATGAGTATTAAAAAGATACATTCCCCTATCAATGAATGATTTTTTTTTCAAAAATATAATGTCCTTAATAAATAAATAAATTTATATTTATTTTAAGTAATGCACTCTATTAAATATGGTGAATATGAAAAGATTGAGTTAGTTAGAAGATAGTTAACTAATTTATTAGATATGAGATTTACATAAAAATACCTTACTTTTTTTTTTTAACAAAGAGAGTTAGGTGATGATTAAAAGAAAAAAAGTGCGTATTGAAATTGTTAAAGATGACTTTTGAAAATGTGAAAGATAAGTATCGAAAATATGAAATATGAATACTAAAAAAAATAATCAATTTTTTTATTTCAAATAATAACCATGGTTTTTTTTCCAAATTTTATAATTTTAGCTAGAATTCATAACCATAATTAACATTTTTAGAAAATCCTCAAATACTCCCTCCATTTTAAATTATAAGAAACTTTTAAATAAAATCTCACATACCAATAAAACTCATTAAATACACTTTACAACCTTACTTTTCAAGACAAAAATATAAACTTTAAAAAATGCCCTTCATTCAATACTCTATTAATAAAAGAATATTAAAGAAAGAGAATATATAGGAAGGATGATATTAAAAAAATTTTATTAATAAAACCTTATTTTTTTTGAAGTATCTTATATTTTGGGATGTTAATTTTTTTTAAAATATTTATAATTTAAGATGAAGAGAGTATTATTTTTTTGATGTTCTTCATTTAATTCAAAGTAAATTTTCAACGTGGTTGGGGAATTGAATTGCTGAAGCATCAATGAGGGTAAGAAGGTTATGTTTGATGGTTGCGAAATTATCACGTTTCCCTGATATTAGTCACTTTTCATTTTGTTTTTGTTTTGTTTTTATTGTCACAGTGACTAGCTAGCTCAACGACTTAATTTCCAAATAACTAACACAAACAAAACTTCGAACTTTGTGGTAGTTGTACCGAACCACCAAGTTTTAAAAGTTTGAAATTAACTTTTTTAAAATATATATTTATACTTTAAAATTTAAATTTATATTAATTATTTTTAACTTTTTAACATTATAACTTGTTTTTCAAAAAAAGACTATATAATATTATAATATAAAAATTATTTTTCAAAAATGAATAGTCAATTTTAGGATGGAAGTGACCGTGAGTGACTAATTCGACAGCAAATGTACCCATATTAAATGCTAGCTAGGCATCCCACCAAGCAAAAAAGTCAACAAAACGAGTTGGTTAATGGCATGCGGATGACAAGTGTACTATTATTATAACCATACCCTTATGAGAAACAGAAAAACAACTTAATCTTATGTGATATTCTTTAACCTTAGTTAATAAGTGTATTACTTTTTAAGACACTTTTGTAGCAAATGCACTTGATATGACATTGGTTGTTGGAAAAGCATGAAGATACAAGTTTAAAACATAATCTTTCTTGTTTTCAAAATTGATTTTTGGATATGCTTTTTTTTTTTAAGTTTTCTCTTGCTCTGTGGATGGTTTTTCAAGGTTTTTGTCATCTCAAAAACCCTAGCCTCCTTCTTTATGTAAAGATGGGCTCTTAGGTCTAATTGAAAGCCCTAATTTAATTTAAATAATATTTTATATTAAATTTTATATATTAATATATAAAATTCGTGCTCCACCGACTTAAGAGATCCTCTTGTAAGATATTTTTTTGAAAAAATCTGTCTGAATAGTGAAGGAAAGACGTACGTGAAGCATATTTTGAGTAGGTGGAAAACATTAATACTAGCAGGAGTTGGGGTGGGGCTGGGAAAATGACGAGCACCATGCATATTCAAAACGTATACACTGCTTCCAACATTAGTGAACAATGCGGACCAAAACCTATTTTATTTCTCACATATGTTAACCTCACCTAAAATTTAGGAGTTACAACTTAGGACTTAAATAAATGTTTTATCTACAATTAAAACTTCATAATTTTTAATTATTTCAATTTATATTTTCAACTCATCTTTTAAAAAACATTGTCAGGACCCAACTGCCAACTATCAATAATTCAATCTTTTGAATCTAACTTTCATTCTTTTAATCATCGATGCTATCTTGATAGAATCAGAGATGCAAGATAATTTAATAAAACTTAACACTTTAAAAAAATAAAACACATTCATCCTCAAGGCATAAATATCTGCAAAGTGACTACCATGTACTCTCTTTATTTTTATTTATAGGAAAAACTACCACTTTTAACTTGTTTTTTTTTATATAAACAAAATCACATTTTTCTATAGGTATTTACTATAAAATTTTTAAATTACCCCTCATAAATTTATCATTTATAGTCATAAGAAACAATTAATGAAGGTTTGATTAACACAATTAATAAATAGTACAGTAGTCCAACTCTTTTGTTTTTAGACACAATCAATATAGTCAATCGATTTTCTTAAACTATGTAATGCAATTGTTTTTTTCCTACAAATAACAATGGAAGGAGTAGTTGCTACAAATATGCAATTCATAAAAGCTTTTAAAAAAACCATTAACATGCACAGGCCCACTATGCTGTCATGCATTCATTGCATTACGTCTCACAGGCATGCTCTGCAAGAAGACATAAATTACATACATACAGACACACACCCACACACGTGTGTGTGTGTTGGTAAAACTTGACAACAGTTGAAAAAATATACTCCATGGAGTACCTGTAGACTCAAATGAAGGGGACTCAAGTGATGGGGGCATCATCAACACGACTTGTGATACATGAATCAATGATTGGAATAGAGAAAAAAAAAAATCTGTTTCTTCACCATTCAAAGTTCTATGTGGACTAGATAAGATATGCAAAACATTAAAAACATAAATTTAATTATTAAAAATTTATATTATCTCAGACTAATTATTTATTTTTCAAGTTGAATTCTCAGTGATCATCTCCATCTACAATTAATAATGAACCACAGACTCATATCATGTGCTTGGAGTAGCATGACTCTTATTCCTCCTCGTATATGTTGGCGAGAAATCTTCAGAAAGTTGAATAGAGACATGCATGGAACCATATTTTAAAATGCGGGTGGAGTTGTTATATAATTTTCGTTCAAATATGTTTATTAGATTGATTGAAAAGGAAAATAAAAGAAATATGAATAAGATGATCATACCCATGCCACCTTTTTAAGAGCATCTGGTTGCTATTTTAGCTGGCTATCACGAGTAAGCTATTCAATTGCAAAAAAACTCCATAATTTATTATTATTTGAATTTATATTTTCAACTCATTTTTAAAAAACATTGCCAGGACACAACTGCCAACTATTATTAATTCAATCTTTTTGAATCTAACTTTCATTCTTTTTATTTTAATCATCGGTGCTATCTTGATGGAATCAAGGGTGCAGGATATAATTTAATAAACATTAATATTTTTTAAAAAAAATTGATCTTTGGTCCTTCAATTTTTAACTTGTAATTTAATCCATCAAGTATAAATCGTTGTAACTCAATCCCTTAACTTTTGATTCCTCTAACACTTAGTCCCTCAACTTTTATTAGTTTTATTTTTCATGCTTATTTAGATCCCACATCAAAAATTAACACTACTACAAAAAGTAAAATACTTGACACCACAATATTTGATGGTTAATAGAAAAAAAACATGGAATAAATGGAGGCGGAGGTTAGGGAAGCATAAGTTTGACGACTATAGTGATAACCATCAAACTTGTCTTAGAATAAGTTTGAAGGTTATTTGTATAACCATCAAACTTATTTTAATTTCTGTTTTTTAAAAAATAAAAATCCATAAGTTTAACGGTTTCATTTAAAACCTTAAACTTATGCATATTGGTAGGGGGCAATTTGAATTAGGGATATTTGATGGTTATTAAGTAAATCATTAAGTAAAAATCCATAAGTTTAACCATTTCATTTAAAACCGTCAAATTTATGCATAATTTATTTAACAGTTTACTTAGTAATCGTTAAATATCCCTAATTCAAAGTGCCGTCACCGCCCCTCTTTCTCTCATTTGAACTCATCGTCCCCATAGGCTCCTCACCATTCTCTATAAAATCCTCCCCAATACCCCACTCAACCGTTCCACATCGTTGTCGCCACAAAGCAAATCCACCCAAATTCTCCTTTATGGCCTCAACGAAGAGCTCTGATCCAGTATTGTCAACGGTTCATTGGCTCTCCAATCCTTTATTCGTAATTGCTCGATTTGGCTCCAAGAAGGCATCTATTCCCCATTTCACTCTCCCTCTCCTTGAAATTTGAAACCCCATTTGCATTTCCTCTACCATTGCTCTCCACGAAGGCGTCTGATCTCCATTACTCTTGCTGGGTTTTCATAGTCTCGGCCATCACTCTAAGGTTGGTTCAAAAATTTAACTTTGTCTTCCTAGTTTCATTGGTGGGTTGTTTAATTTATTCTCCTCTCCTTTGTTGCTTTTGCTAGTTTGTTAATTTTTGTAAATTGCATTGGCTTGAATTAGTTTGTTAATCTCTGAAAATTGCTCTTGTTGGGTTGGTTAGTTTGTATTTTATTAATTTTTGTAAATTGCTTTGGCTTGATGGTTGCTTGAAATTGGTGTTTGGGTTGCTAGAAATTTCAGCTTGGATTGTTATATTAAAGACTACACAGGGATAAAAGTCAACATGAAGAGAGGACAAATTGCCCAGGAAAATTCTAATTATAAGCTGTTATGCTGCCCAATTTTTTTTTTATAGAAGTAAAAATTCATGATTTTATTAGTTAGTATTTAAGTAGCTTGACTTAGGATTATTTTGGAAAGAATATGATCTCACTTTCTATTCCAAGGTTGTTAAGTGAGAACTCTTTTAATTTAAAGTTTGATTAATTCATTAATGTTCCAAGCTTGAGTTTTGTGAATATGATTATTGTTAAGTGAGAAATTTTGTAAGTTTGAGTGATTCATTAATAACATGAATATGTAACATATTCTGATGATTTCTAGCAATGAGCATATCATTCTTTTATCCTCTTTCATGTTTTGTTGATGCGGTTATTGTTGTGACTAAGTAGCATTGAATTAGGTTAGATTAAAGACTATAGGAATTAAATTAATATGAAAAAAGGGCAAAATGCCTGGGAATATTTCATTTTTAAACCGTTATGCTGCCTAATTTTTTTAATATACTTAGTAGTCAAATTTTTAGTTAAATTAAGTTAAAGAACTTTGAGCATTTAACAAAGTTCTTTAACTTAGTTTAAGCGTTGTAGTCAACAAAGCTTAAAGAGGGATTATGTCAATGAAACAAATGTGACTCATGATTGAAAGACTAAGTGGTTAATAATTTTTATCTCCCACTAATTTAGTCAAGATCGATCAAAGAGTCACTAATCATATTTTTCCTCAAAATGATTGTTTCTAGATTTGGAAGATGGACAAGGAATGGATGTCTTCCAATCAATTAACAAAGGAATACTTGAATGGGGTGAAAGAGTTTATTAAATTTGCACTTGACCACACCAACAATTGTAATAGTATTGTGTACCCTTATGTAAAATGTTGTCTAATGAAGTGGATTTATGCATCTAAATTGGAAGATCATTTAGTTTGTTATGGAATTAATGAGAGTTATAAGTGTTGGTACAAGCATGAAGAGACAAGGGATACAAGCCGAGGGTATAGCAAGAGCCACATGCCATATGATTTTGATATAAGTACATATGAGGTTGGTGACCATCTTAAAGAGATGACCAAATCAATTGAAGAGGAACTAAAGGATTGTCTTGAAATGCTTGAGAGGTTAAAAAATGATGTAGAAATGCCTTTGTATAGTGGTTGTACTGATTTCACATTATTGTCAGTGGTGTTGAATTTGTACAACTTGAAAGGGAACAATAGGTGGAGTGATAAGAGTTTTAGTAAATTGCTTGCACTTCTTAAAGTGATTCTACCCAAAGTGAATGAGCTTTCTATTAACACGCATCAAGCAAAACAAATGTTACGTGATATTGGCATGAGCTATGAGGAAATTCATGCTTGCCTAAACGATTGCATATTGTTTAGAAATGAATATGAGTCATTAATTGAATGTCCAAAATGTAAAGCATCATACTTCAAAGATAATGGGAAGAGTCCAAAGAAAGCATTATGGTATTTTCCTATTGTGCCTAGATTCAGACAATTATACAATAGTAAAAAGAAAATGCAAAAAATTTAACGTAGCATGTGGATGAGAGGATTAAAGATGGTAAGTTATGGCATCCTATTGACTCTCCTTAATGGTAAAGGGTTAATCATGAGTACTCTAAATTTGGACAAGAATCGAGGAATTTATGCCTTGCATTATCTACAAATGGAATGAATCCTCATGGCCTCCAAAGTAGTACCCACAGCACTTGACCAATGATTTTCATAATTTATAATCTACATGGTTATTATGCATAAAACACAAATACATGATGCTGTCTATGCTAATTTCAGGGCCAAAAAGACCTAAAAATGATATAAACGTGTACTTGGCTTCTCTAATTGTAGACTTTAAGTTATTGTAGGAGACAGGAGTTGAGGTGTATGATAGGTATAGGGAAGAAAAATTTAATTTGAGAGCCTTGTTATTTGGTACCATAAATGATTTTTTAGCCTATGGTTGTAAAGAAACTTGGATGCCCCATTTGTAAAGAAAACATATATTCAATTAGGTTAGAGCATGGTATAAAGAATGCTTATATAGGGTATCGAAGGTGGTTACATCCAAGTTATGATTATTGGCAATTGAAGAAATCTTTTAATGGGAATTCAGAAGAATGTGGCCTACCTTTAATATTAACAGGTGACCAATTGTTTGAAAAGGTTAAGGATTTTCATATCGAGTTTGGGAAACCTTTTATAAAGTACCATGAAAAAAGTGGGTGGAAGAAAAGTATTTTCGTTAAGCTATTGTATTGGAAAGTCTTATATGTTAGGCATTTTGTTGATGTGATGCATATCGAGAAAAATGTATGTGACAGTGTTGTTGGTACGTTACTTCATATTTTCAAAAAAATCAAAGATGGCATCAATGCAAGGTTAGACATGATTTCTATAGAGAAAGGGAAGACTTAGCACTAGAGGAGAAGGGAAGTCATATCTTTCTTCATCCAGTAGCTCACATGTTGTTTAGAAAAGAAAAAATTTCTTTTTTGTGATTTTCTTGCTACAGTTAAAGTTATAAAGGATTACTCATCAAACATTAGAAACCTTGTTGTCAATGAAAGAACAAAAGTTGAAGGGTTTAAAATCTCATGACTGCTATGTTTTGATGAAGAGTTTTATTCCAATACTGATATGTTCTATTTTACCCAATAAGGCATGAGACACTATCACAAAATGATGTTTCTTCTTCAAATCTATTTGCAGTAAAGTGATTGACTCCAACAAGTTACCAACATTACAAAGTTGAATTGTAAAAGCATTGTGCGAGCTTGAGATATATTTCCCACCTACTTTCTTTGAGACCATGGTTCACCTAACTATTCACTTAGTGAAGGAGGTGTAAATGTGCAGCTCAGCTTATTTAAGATAGATGTATCTCGTTGAGAGTTATATGAAGGTAGTAAATGGGTATGTGAAAAACCATAGTCAACTTGAGTGTTGTAAATGCCCAAGAGGGGATGAATTGGGCTAATTAAAAAATTAAATGATTTTTATAATAATAGGAGTAATGAAGGAATGGAATCACTAATCATAAGAGTTAGAAGAGCAGAGCTTGACACAGGTGATTTATCCTAATTTGACTCCTACCACTTGAGTTTATGTCTAGTCCCCAAGAACCTTTTGAGATTTCTAACTATATTACCAAGATTAATCTAGGCTCATGATTTTCTTAATACATCAACAAACTTCAGAATAAGTCTAAAACTCTCCCCCTTACAAAGATAATAATAAATCTCCTTAAGCTCCCTGAGCTTAAGTTTGTCTATTTTGAAAATGTAAAATAGGTATAAACAAAGTAAGTTCAAGAATGAACCACTACTTCTTTTAAACTCTCTCTCAGAGTAGATATATTATCAATGAAGCTCTCTTAATGATAAATAATACACAAAAAGTAGGTAAACTATAATGCTCAAGTAATCATAGAATTTTCTTATTAGCTCACGTTGTTCCTTGTTCTTCATGTTTCATAAATAAGTCTATTTATAGCTGAGGATCATAAATGATCCTTTACAGTCATAAATTTTTTAGTTGAAGGTTGCTTGTAAACTGATTACTTCTTTCCTTTGTATTCCTTGGATATTTGAGCTTATCTGAGATTCTCCGATGGATGAGGTAATGAAACAGTACTTTATAGCAGAGACTTCCTCTTTGGTACAGTAATAGCTAAAAATATTAAATGCTTTTAACAAAAGTGGTTAAAGTTGATACGTTTTAGTATGATAGAAGACAAACTCAGTGACTCAATGAAAGATAAGTAAACTAAATAACTTCAAGGAAATAGTTGTGTCTAAATACCATTTAGTAACAATATAGAGTGAATAGAATTAATTTTGGATGAAAAGAAAGATTGAAAGATGAGTTTTGGTGAGATTTAAAATTGATACAAAAAATAAAGAATGAGAATGCAGGGTAATACTGGTGTTATAATGTCCCAACACTAATATTACAGTGATGAGCAGACTCTGATTGAATAGCTTAGCACATGTGTTGTTCTGATAGTATTGGTGAAATCCAGATTTTTGACAATTTTGAGTGAATAAGGATATTTTTAAAAAGATAACTCAACAACAGTATTAAGAAGAAATAACACCGAAGTAACATGATTAATCAAATATCTTTGCAAGAGAACAAAAGAGACAGTACCGGTGTTATATAGTTAGTACTGGTGTTACAGATATTTGTTCAAAAATAGTACAGGTGCTAATGAAGAAACACAGGTGTTGTTTTAACTCAAACAAGGATAAAGAATGAACAAGACCAATGTTAAATAGATAGTACCAATACAAAGAAAAAGGTTCAAAGAAGAGAGAATCAATTTCACAGGTTTAGAAGGATAACACTGGTGTTAGAATAAGTAGGACTGGTGTTATATGAAACATGAACTAATAGAACAGTGAAAATAATTAAAGTAGCACCAGTGTTAAAGCTTCCAATACCAGTGCTAATAATACTTAGAAACAATTTAGAATAAGATAGCATCAAACACATAGATTATAGTTAAGTTAAGTACTTAACTAACCAAAATATAGTTAGACAAAAGAACTTCTATTACGTATAAGCTTTCACCTAGCCAATTTAGATTAATGTTAACCTAATTAACTTAAGTTCAAGTTAAATAACTTGAAATGCACAAAACTTCTCTTTATTTTGTAATCATCAAAACTAGGGTTCAACATTTCTCCCCTTTTTTGATGATGACAAAATTTAGATGCAAATTATTAGTTCTTAGAGAGACTTTGGTCTCTACTTCTTAAAGGGAATAAAACAGATTAATAGGGAACAAGTAGAAGAATTGCACAATATATATAAATATCTAAAAGAAGTTACAAAAGAGAATAATAGAGAATATTTAATAGATAAACAAACATTCAGTTCATTTCTTAAAGATAGCACCAAAAAAATCAACTCATGAAATTTCTTAGTAGTAGGAGATGAAAGTTTATGGGTGTTTCAAAAGGTGGTTGAGAGGTTTGAGGTTCAAAAGTTCTAGATGAAGGTTGAGGCTTAAAAGGCTTGAAATCCTTTGCTTTGAATCTGCTAAGTCTTGGCAAGGCACTTCTAGGTCTTCTCACAACAGATTGACCTTTATGCTTACTACTTCTTGAATCTTCAACCACTAAACCACCATTATGCACAGACCCTTGATCCTTAGTGTTTTTAGATTTTGCATACTCTTTTCCTCCTTTTTCTCATCAGCAGAGGGCTTGGATAGATGAACAGGGACAAAAAGATTGGAAGAAGGAGTGTAGGAAGAAGAGGTACCACTTTCAATCTAAACTAGTATGTTCCTGAACCTTGGTGTAGGCTTAAAAATTGCACCAAATTCCACAATTACAGTGAGAGGCATAAGAGACAATATAAATCAAGATTTCTCTTGATCAAGTCCTGAAAGGCCTTTATGTAGTTGATCCTAGAGAAGAAAGGGGCAAAAAGTGAAGGTAACTGTACAAGCTCTAATTCTTCCTCATCATCAGAGATCTCAATATATTCTCTAGCAACCTTTACTACAACCAGTGCAAGCTTATTACTGTCTGATGCATGTGATTCAATTCCTTCTGAACTATCTTCAAACATAGGTCTCAATTCAGAATCAATAGAGGAAACTGGTCCAAACCTCATATTTTCAATCTTGGAGGATATTTATAGATCACTATCAATTTCCTCCTCAATACCCTTCTTAGAAGTAGAGGTGCTGGATGAGTGTATTGAAACAAAATTTTCAACAAACCTATTTCTAGCATTCTCATAAACAGAGTCATCAGTAGGGGTACTCATTCTAAAGGGAGGGTAGTGCTTGGATGAGTCCCTTTGTCTAGCTGGTCTACCTCCCAAACTCATAACTTGATCTCTTAATAAGCCAAGTTCTTCCTTGAACTCTTCTTTAATCTCTACAGAAACTTTCTTTAATTTCTGATCAAAATCCTTAGCTTGTCTTTCGTGACACAAGTGATAAAACACATTTGTTACCCACTTTTATTTGTCAATTAGGACCCTTTTATTAATGATTTATCACCTTCAAGTGCACACATTGCATTGGATTTATAATTTTGCCTAAGTTTCTAGGTTCAGTGCACTAGGGGCATTTTGGTCTAAAAAATGAACTTTTGAGAAAATGTACAAGAAAAATTGACAAAGTGCATTTTATGTCCAGTTGATGAGTGGTGAAATTATATTTTTAAAATTCATTTTAGTTTGGGAGTAATTAAATAAAAAAGTCAACACTTTCTTAAGTGTCTTAGTTTGTCCTAGTTTTTAGTTTGCCTTTGTGTGGAAATTTTTTATATAATTTTATGCAGCCTGAAACTTGGTTAATTTAATAAATTCTCCCTTCTAATTATGAATTTAATTCTAGACATGAATTAGATTTTATTATATCATATGCTATTTAATTGAATTATGTGATTTATGTGACGTAGGTGGCATGTGACTTGTGCATCAATTGGACAATTGAGGTCAACACTCCTTGAGGTCAATGGCTGATGGTTTGCACGTGAATTATGATTATTTTGAGGGATTAAATCAGCTGAAATGATGTGGATGACACATGAGAAATTAGGCACACATTGGAATCATCTACAAACCAATAGGAAGTTGCCATCTTGCAAGTATGACAAGGCTCCCATTTACATTTTAATTTTTTTATTAAGCTTCACCTAATGGGAAACACCAAGGAGCATGCCATTTTAAACCCCAAAATGGGATCCAACACTCATCTCATTCATCTTCCACATTCTCTCTCTCTTGTCCATAGTGTTCTTCATTTTCTCTCTTTTGTTCTTCATTTTCCAGCACCCTAACCTCCATTTTCAGCCACCAAACCTCCACAAAACTCATACCATTCTTCTCCTCTCTTCATTTTCATTCCATCCCTTCCATTTTCACAAGGATTGAAGCTCATTTCCATCATTCAAGAGCTATGGAGTTTGGCCTTCACAAGCAATCACTAGGGTTCTTGAAGATGAAGATTGGCTAAGTTTCTTTATGGAATCCTAGAGAGATGAAGATGGATGATGAGTCTTGAGCTTCAAATTGGCTAAGTTCTTTTGTTTCCTATCCTCTTCTCTTTTTACTAGATGGTTAGATTCCTTAATCTAGGGTTTAATCATCTTAGCTTATAAATTCTAATTTGAATGTGATGTTGATGTAAAGAGAGAGGATTGTTTCATTTAATTTCTTCCTTGGACAGCCATGACTGAATTTTGCCACTCTTTGTTTGGCACATAATCTTGTGTTTTTCAATTAGTGAATTTCTTGTGTTGATATTACATAATCTTGTGGTGTTAATGCTTGTGTTGTTGAGTAGCTTGACATAATCTTGTGGTTGCTCAATTTATGTGTTTGACCATGGCTGTTGAGAGAGGATTTTGAATGAATCACTTAGCTAATGTCTTCACCAATTGGTTAATTGAACTAGGGACTTTAATCTAAGATCTAGGGAGGTTAGCTAATTAGGTTAATTGGCTTTGGATAATTTTCTTAAGTCATGACAGCTTTAGTCAAGAGGAAAGGGAAGCTAAACTTAGCCTAATCATGAGAAGATAATGAATCCAAAATCAACTAATCTCTAGGGTTCCATTATTGTGAAAAGGGAAGTTCATTTCACTCACTTTCACTAGCATTTTAATTACTTACACAGTAAGTAATTAGTTTAGATAATTAGCTAGGTAACTAAATTCCTACAAACTTTGGTTGATTTATTTCACTAGATGACTTTCAATTAGACTTAAAACCATTCCTTGGGAGATGACCTAGGGTTGGCCCTATATTGCATTAGGGTTAGCTTTAGTATAATTTTGAGAATAAGTGACTAATTTCCTATCAACAGGGTAAAAAGCTTAGCTTGATTTTGAACCTTCTATCCAACCACTTGACAGTATCTGAATCCAAATATATACCTCCTAATAATGGTGGGATAGATGAGTCATTCAGATCAGGTTAAGACTCTTGTCTAACTTGAGAACTGGAAGTTACAACTGAATGAGCTTCTGTTTGAGCACCAACTCCTCCTTCTTTCTCTTTAATGATCTCCATTTTCTTCAAAGTGACAAAGTTGATCTCCTCATGTCCCAAAACCTCATTGCCTTCCAGATACATGATCTTATAATCTTCCAACATCTTGAAAATGACATTTTCATACATGAAATACTTTCCATCTCTCTTTTTGATTATCTAGACTACATTCTTGATCTTCTAAAAAATGATGGAAGCCACATCCAGCTCCAACCCTTTGATTAAGGTAGTAAAAAATCTCAAGTCTTCAGAAATGAACTTGTTTACCCCAAATCTTTTGCAGGTAATCAATCTTGATAAAATGAGGTAGATTACTCTGTGAAGTGTTGGCATGGATTTTGGCTTCTCTATTAGGCCAAAGCTTTCCTCCTAAGATGGCACAAGTGTCTTGAAGATGACTGGTTTTTTATGCAACAAATTTGATAGCCTCATCAATCTTTTATTGGTTGAAAAGTTTAGAAGTGTGCTCAAATAGTCTTCTATAATATCAAAAGACTTTTCTTGAATTATTGCTCTAAGCACCTTACCATTATGTAAGACTTGAAGTGAGCTGTAGAAAGCTCTAATGACTTCTAGATTCACAGCCATGTTAAGCTCTAATAAGGTCTTATAGGGCTTTAGCATCTCAGTAACATCGTACCCTATTTCCTTGAGTTCTGTCAAGTTTACTACCCAGGACTTGCTGACTTCTTTTTTAGCCATTTTTAAGGCCAGACTCAAAATTCATCCTCTATGTAGAAAGTCATAGTAGAACCCAGCAAAATCATTGCTTTCATCTGATGCCTTAATGATGGGTTCTTTCCCCTTCCTCTTTCTCTTGCTCTATTCTTCAAGATTTTCAGAGTAAGATTGACTAGGTAGTGTACCTTCAGGTGTCCTCTCAAAGAAGACTGATTCATGTTCAGTGGGCTGAGGAGCTTTAGTATTCTTTGTTCCTCTTTGAGCCTTTTGAATAGTTCTTGGCTTCTTAGGAGTGAGTTAAGATGGTGCAGTAGCAGTAGTTTCCATGGGTTCTTCATTCTAAGTCTTCATCTTCATTCTTTCTTTTCTCTTTCTAACCTTTACAACTTGTTCTACTTTATCCATAACCTTATTATAGCTACTAAGGCTTAGATTTCCTCATCTAAATCCTACTCGTTTAACCATAATGTCTCTTGCTTGAAAGAAATCAAACACAAAGAGTCCTCAAGCTTTCAGAGCCTCTTTAGTCATTTTCATTCATGCGGACTTCATCGAGGATTAAGTTAGAATTTTTAAGAGATTTGGATGCGAAATAAGAGAAATTAGGATAGAAGATTGGTTAGATTTAAGGGAAAGTAGATATGAGAGTTGCAGAGTGAAGACAGAGTTTATACGAGAGGGAGAGTAGCATTGGTGGGTTTAGGGCAAAAAGGTGAATTGAGTGAGAGAGCACACACAAGCATATATATATATAGACAAATCTAGTACCGATGTTACTTACCATAACATCTGGTGTTAAATAAAAAAAATAAAAGTTCAATGGTTACCTCATTTAAAATTATAAATGAATTTCATCTTATCCATGCTAAGTCATTTTGAGGTGTCAGACTCATCTCTTAGTAGTAGTGTTGATGACTCTGTAGTGGCTTTACTTATCTTTCACAGCATCAGTGTTGAACAATATAGTATCGGTGTTACTATTGTAATTAGCTATTTTGTAATTACTTAGAAGAACCATTAGTACTGGTGTTGAATTTCTAACACTGGTGTTACTTATCTTTGTAACACCAATAGAGAATTCCTTTAGACAAAGACCTACATTTTTAAACAACAACTCTGATGCCTAAGTTAGAATAGAATACATAATTTAACAAACTAAAAATAAAGAATGGAAATAGAGTTGCTTACAATTTATTGGGATTTAACAAACACAATTCTCTTCTTATGAATATGAATTGCTCTGCTCCTAGAGGTTTTGTGAAGATATTAGCAAGTTGAAGTTCAGTAGGGATGAATTTCACTATGACATCTTTCTTTTAAACATGATCTCTAATGAAGTGATGATGAATATCAATATGCTTAATTCAAGAATGATGAATTGGATTTTTAGTCAAGCATATTGTACTGGTATCGTCATACTTGATTGAAATACTCTTGAGCTTGATTCCAAAGTCTTCAAATTGCTGCTTCATCCATAAGATTTGAGAACAACATAAGCCAACAGCTATATATTCTAATTCAATTAATGATAAAGAGATAGTATTTTGTTTCTTGCTTGCCCAAGAAACAAGTGAACCATAAAAAAAGTAGCATGTTTCACTTGTGGTTTTTCTTTTTGTCTTACATCCACCAAAGTTAGCATCAAAATATCCAATTAAGAATTCACTTTCTCCTTTAGGATATCAAAGACCTAGTGAATCAATATCTTTTAGATATCTAAAAATCCTTTTTACTGCTATCATATGTGATTCTTTTGGTGCTAACTAAAACCTTACACAGAAACCAACACTAAAGGATATATCTAGACAACTTGCTGTGAGATATATAAGAGATCCAGTCATCCCTCTATATGATTTGCAATCATATTCGGTTCCAGCAGCATCTTCATCCATCTTGATGGTTGAGCTCATTGGAGTATCAATTCCATTAGCTTGATCCATCCCAAACTTTTTGAGCATCTCTCTAAGATATTTAATCTAACACACAAATATACCATCCTTCCTTTGCTTAATTTATAGTCCCAAAAAGAATGTTAGTTCCCCCATCATAGACATTTCAAATTCTCCCTGCATTAATTCTGAAAATTCCTTACACAGAGATTCGTCAGTTGTACTAAATATAATATCATATACATAAATTTCAACTATTAACAAATGATCCTTTTTTTATAAAAAAGGTAGTATCAACTTTACCTTAATTGAATCCTTTTTCTGAGAGAAAAGAATTCAATCGGTCATACCAAGCTTTGGGGGCTTGTTTGAGTCCATAGAGAGCTTTCTTCAATTTGAAGACAATCTTCAAACTTTTAAGGATCTTTAAAACTAGGTAGTTGTTGAACATATACTTCTTCAAGGATGTACCCATTAAGAAATGCACTTTTTACATCTATCTAGTATAGCTTGATATATTTCACAGATGCATAGGCTAGAAGTAGGTGAATTGCTTTCAATCTAGTAACTAGGGTAAAAGTTTTTTCACAGTCTATACCTTCTTGCTGATTATATTCCTTTGCTACTAATTGAGCTTTGTTTCTGACATGATGCCTCCTTCATCAAGTTTTTTCTTGAAGATCCATTTAGTTTCAATTACCTCCTTCATACTCTGTGGAGTTCATGTTATGATTGGGATAATGGAGTCCTTTTGCTACTTTTTACAAACTTGTTTAGTTATAGAATTATTTTTTCCTTGTTATTCCAATAGTGTTTTTGATGCTAGAGTACTTTCATGTAACAAGTAGTTTGTTCAATATCGATAGTAATCGACAAAATTTGCAAACTAGGAGAAAGCATACCAGAGATGAAAAGAGTATGATTGAGGGGGAAGAAGAATCAAAAATTTTGTATTTATAGTAAGTTTTATAGAAATAGTTATTGGAGCATCATATAACTTTAAATGCAAGTATGATATATTACTTCACTTCTTTTACCAACATGCATGCTTTTTTTTATTAGTTGAACTTGAGCCCTTTATTAACCAAAGAATTATGTAGAGTTAGTGGCCTCTTAACTTGAAAGGCACTCAGATAATCTAAATATGAGAATTTATTAACACAATTGTATAAAACCAACATTGTTTATTTGGCATTGCACTTTAAATATACATGTTCCCATACTCTATGGAGTTCATGTCATGACTGGGATGTTGGATTCCTTTTACTGCCTTCTACAAACTTGTTTAGTTATAGCATTATTTTTTCCTTTGTTATTCTAATGGTGTTTTTGATGCTAGAGTACTTTCATGTAATAGGTAGTTTGTTTAGCATGGATAGTAATCAACAAAATTTGCAAATTGGGAGAAAGCATACCAAAGATGAAAAGAGTATGATTGAGGGGGAAGAAGAATTAAATTTTTTTATCTATAGTAAGTTTTATTGCTATAGTTATTTGAGCATCACATAACTTTAAGTATAGATTACGAGAAATTTCATGGGATAAAAGTGAACATGCTCATCATAGATCTCTTTGGATGACAATTGTAGAATGTGAAACCACAAGCATAGAGTTATTACGCCTTAATCCAGTGACATTTAAGAAAGGCATTTAGCAATCTAA